TTTTTTATTCTTTTTTAAACCTTTGAAGTGTAATTTTAGTAATAAAATCTTGTTTTTTTTTTCTTGTTTTGTTACTTTTTTAGAGCAAATAAACCGTCTGAAAAATACAATTTTTTACCAGGATAAAGTGTGCAATGCTGAGATATAAACCACGTGGGAAAACTTTTTCTTTTTTAATATTTTGAACTGTAATTTTAGTGGGAGATGACACTGTCAGATGGCACAGATAATAAAATCTTTTTGTTTTTTTTGTTTTGTTACTTTTTTAGAGCAAATAAACTGTCTGAAAAATTTATTTTTAACGTGGAATAAAGTGGGCAGTGCTCAGATATACAAACACCTGGGAAAATGTTTTTCTCTTTTAATCTTTTCAACTGTAATAAAGCTGCTAACATGACAGAAAACATGCCATAAAAACGGCTAGATTTAGCTGTTAGAGATGATAAAATATTTGTTTTTTTTTGTTATTTTTAGAGCAAAAAACTGTCTGAAACAGCAAATAAACAGTCTGAAAAAGTGCTGAGATATCCAACCACCTGGGAAAACTTTTTCTTTTTTAATATTTTGAACTGTAATTTTAGTGGGAGATGACACTGTCAGATGGGACAGATAGTAAATTGTTATTTTTTTTAGAGCAAATAAACAGTCTAAGAAATAGATTTTTTAACAGGATGAAAGTGTGCAGTGCTCAGATATCCAATTACCTGGGAAAATGTTTTTTCTTTTTTAATATTTTAAACTGTTATACTTTGAATTAAAGACGCTAACATGACAGATAAACGTCTAACTTTAGTTGCTGATTTTTTTTTTTTTGTGGGAGTTCACACTGTCAGATAGTAAGATATCTTAGTTTTTTTTCTTGTTTTGTTCTTTTTTTAGAGCAAATAAACTGTCTGAAAAATACAATTTTTTACCAGGATAAAGTGTGCAATGCTGAGATATAAACCACCTGGGGAAATGTTTTCTTTTTTAATCTTTTGGATTGTAATTTTAGTGGGAGTTTACACTGTCAGATGGCAAAGATGATAAAATCTATTTTTTTTCTTGTTTTTTAGAGCAAATAAAAAGTATAATATTTTCTTTTTTAATATTTTGAACTGTAAGACTTTGATATAAAGCCTCTAACATGACCGATAAACTCTAACTTTAGTTGCTATTTTTTTTTGTGGGAGTTTAGAGGGAGTATACACTGTCATACGGCACAGATAGTAAAATCTCTTCGTTTTTTTTCTTGTTTTGTTATTTTTTTTTAGCAAATAAACAGTCTAAAAAATAGTTATTTACCAGGTTGAAAGTGTGCAATGCTCATATGTCAACCACCTGGGAAAATGTTTTCTTTTTTAATCTTTTGAACTGTAATACATAAAAACATAAAGCCTCTAACATGACCGATAAACGTCTAATTTTAGTTGATTATGTTTTTTGTTTGGTGGCAGTTTAAACTGTCAGATGGCACAGATAATAAAATTTTAGTTTTTTTTTAGAGCAAATAAACTGTCTGAAAAATAGATATTTACCAGGAATAAAGTGTAAAGTGCTCAGATATACATACACCTGGGGAAATATTTTATTTTTTAATCTTTTGGATTGTAATTTTAGTGGGAGATGACACTGTCAGATGGCACAAATAGTAAGTTGTTATTTTTTTAGAGCAAAAAAACAGTCTAAAAAATAGTTATTTACCAGGTTGAAAGTGTGCAATGCTCATATGTCAACCACCTGGGAATTTTTTTTTTTTTTTTTATATTTTGAACTGTAATACATAAAGACATGAAGCCTCTAACATGACCGATAAACGACTAACTTTAGATGCTGATTTTTTTAGTGGGAGTCTAGAGGGAATTTATACCGTCAGTTGGCACAGATGATAAAATCTCTTTGTTTTTTGTTCTTTTTTTAGATCAAATAAACTGTCTGAAAAATAGATTTTGTACCAGGATGAAAGTGTGCAGTGCTCAGATATACAAACACCTTTCTTTTTAAATCTTTTGGATTTTTAATTTTAGTGGGAGTTTACGCTGTCAGTTGGCACCGATGATAAAATCTCTTTGCTTTTTGTTCTTATTTTAGAGCAAGCTAAAATGTTATAATGAATGTAATGTAATGAGTTTTTTACTGTGTTCAGAGACATTTTGGCCCCTTTAGGTCGACCTGTCATAAGCCTGAAAAGGCTATCGTACAATTATGCAAAAAGGAAGCATGACCTTATTGCTTAATTAAAAAAAAATTAATCAAGTTATTTTTTACAAAATGTAAATGCTTGTTCAGCACAGCTAAATGGAAATAGTTCTTTTACAAAATACATTTAACATAATATCACTTCAAAGTTCTCAATTTCTGAGAATCACCTTGTTTAGAATATAAGAGAAATAATATCCTAAATAATGTAAAATTGAATAATAGTAGCTGTGCAAGAAGCAGAGGAACATTTCAGGCTAAACTTAAACAATAATTTGGCAGATTTCAACTATTTGGATGCTACAAATGAATTGCTTTTGATTGATGTGATCTCTCAATTTCTATTTTTTTAAAGTAAGTTGACAATGTGAGAGGATATATGAGGAGTCTGTTGGGTTCTTTATGTTAGTTGGTGTGTAAGATAAAATAAATATAAAATACATAAATAAATAAACAAATAAATAAACAAATAAATAAATAAATAAATAAATAAACAAATAGATAAACAAATACATAAATAAATAAATGAATGAATAAATAAATAAATAAATAAATAAATAAATAAATAAATAAATAAATAAATATAAAAATAAAAATTAAAATATAAAATATAAAATAAAAATAAAAATAAAAATAAAAATAGAAATAAAAATAAAAATAAAAATAAAAATAAAAATAAAAATAAAAATAGAAATAAAAATAAAAACATCACACCATCTTTCTTCATAACTCACCTCTGAGATTTCCAGCCGCTGGCCGGTGTAATCATACACATCTCCTGCAGTGGAATAAATTCACATTAGGAACATTTAATAAAAGAAAAAACATTTTAAAGGCTTATCAAATAGTTGGGTGACAAACAGACAGATTAAGGAGGCCACTGGGTCAACTGGACCTCGAACATGTTTCAGCTCTCCACTTTTAAACTAAATGTTAGGAGTCAGCATATGTTTCCTCTCCACTCCAAACTTTAACCAAACAACACTGTCAAAGATGAGAAAAACATGCTGTAAATCCAGGAATCTAAAAAAAAACCCGACTATCTTCTCTAAACATTCCAGTCCACTTCAAACCCGAAAACAGAAAACAGACAGATATATGTCCACCCCAAAGACAAAAATCCTCCAAACGAAAATATTGAAGAATATAAGAGTATTGAATATATAAGAGTATCATAAGAAAATTATAATATAAGTAGTATATATATAAGAGTAATATAAGAGTAATAATATAAGAGTATTGAAAATATAACAGTTTTATAAGAGTATTATAAGAGCATTGAATATACAAGGGTATTATAAGAGTATTATAAGTGTAATATAAGAGTATTGAATATATATAGAGTATAATAAGAGTATTATTAGAGTAATATAAGACTATTGAACATATAAGAGTATAATAAGAGTATTATTAGAGTAACATAAGAGTATTGAATATATGAGTATAATAAGAGTATTATTAGAGTAATATAAGAGTATTGAATATATAAGAGTATAAT